TTATTCTTGCAGGAAATGTTGCCTGGACTTTCTGTTGTGTATCTTAATATAAACTAAGCAGAACTTTTGCTCTACATCAGTGTTTTTTTGTAGGGAAAGACAACCAGCTTGTTCCTGGAGGTTTTTTTTGCTTCCTGAAGTTCCTTTAAGACATAAACCAGACATGTTAAGTAAGCTGGGAGTGGCCATGTTGCTGCTTTGGTTGATCCTAAGCTTAGGATCCCAGGGTCATTCAGATAGGAAAGGACCTCTAAAAGTGTCCAATCTACACTGCCCGAAGCAGGGTCAGCTGTGAGATCAGACCAGCTTGAAACAAGGGTAATGTAACTATAAATTATTCTGTTGCTAATATTAAGTGATCTGTATTTGGGCTATTAAAAAAAATACCTGGAAATCTACTCCTTTGATAATAAAGTAATTAGAGAGATTTCCAGTGTGAAGTATTGAAACTGGTGTTTCTGGCAGAGATTCGTGTACAGAAACAATGAACAGACTTTGCCAGAAAGTTCTACAAAAGTGCCTGGGATAACTTTGTTTTCTTGTGCTCCTCAGCTTTCTCTGTTCTTTGTCTAATTCTGCAGGAAGGAGAGGGAGACCAGCACAGACATGGAGGAGGAATAAACAAGCTGTAAGGGGCCTTCTGGCTTAGTTTTCCTGTCCTTGCTAATGCAGTGAGCAAGTCTGTCTGGGAAGGCCCTGCCCTGTTCACTAGGAGACTCTGTAAGGCAAAGTGCTGCTGCGAGGGTTTCCTTGCCTCTCTTTTTTCAGCTGGGTTTTAAAGAACATCTGTGAAGTTCAATGAAATTCACTTAGTAATGATCCTAACAGTCGATTTCTCCTGTTACTTATACAGCATTATAACACCCACAGCCTTCTCAAGAGGGTTTTTTGGCAGTAAAATTTTTGTTTACTGTTTGCCCTCACTATTCTGTCTCAGTCTTGCAGCTTTGACCCATTGAAAGCCAGTCTCCTGGCAAATGTGATATTAAACACTACTAAGTATCTGAAGGAAACATTTTGATGACTACAGTCGAAATTACCTGAAGGAAATTAATAAACAATTTTTTTATGATCTTGGAGATGTTTTTGAGTTTGGAAGGAATTGTAACATGTATGGCACATTTCTTTCAAGTAAAAGTTGCAGAAAGCTGCGAATGTAAGTTAGGAAAAGAAGAGATACAGGAAGAAATTACATCTGTCAAGGAGCATGATTAAATGTTGACTTGAAATAATGTGATTCACCGTTTAGACAATCTTGTTATGAAAGCTCTAAGTCTTGGATCAATAAAATGAATCTTGGACAGATATTAATCTGGCTCTGACCTTAGAATTGCATTCAGCTACAGAACCAAGGTTATTGATGCCCATCCTAATCAGACATCAGAATCTGAAAACTTAAATATTTGCTTCAGACTAAGGTAACTTTTTTTTTTCCTTTGACCATTTGCTTCCTAATGTTTATGTACTTAAAGCTGTGATTAATATGTTCAGTTTGACTGCCTTTCTAATGGAAGTCGTGAATCCAGGGTGAATGGGCTACTGACTTAGATTATTATTTTTTTCCTCCCTCCCTACTCAGGAGAGTAGCAGTAATTTTGCTAAAATAGAGTGTTGTGAGCTTTAACTACATGAGACTAGGAAGTCCTCCAAACAGTTACATGGTTCATATTTTATTTCCAGAGTAGGAATTCATTACAAAAACCTAAATGGCAAGTTGGTCAATTTTTCTTCTGTGAGCAAGTGTAAGGCTCTCTAAGATACAGTTTTAATCTGTTCATAGACAGGACTTGAAAGCTGTTGATGCCTAAAGTGCCCTGATTTTGTTCAGCTGTATCACTGACTTTATACAGGTGTGTGAGGTTCCTCTTGTTGTCTAACAACTGTTATTCCTTGTTCCTTTGCCCAGGGGGTACTTGCAGTACCCCTGTACAGAGGAACAGACTTTTAATGCAGGTATCAGTTGGCCAAGGTGCCAGTACCAGCCTTGATTAGCTGAGATGGACTTCAAGGCTTGCACAGGTAAGGGAGGATGGTGCTCATTCCTAGACTTGCATTAGGTGCCCCAGGCTGCATTCAGTCGTGATTACAAAGTGTTGCTCTCATTATGAATCATCCACAATGGAGCAGGTTTCTCAAAGTGCACAGTCTGGAATAGTGCTGAGTGTTTTCCAGAAGAAAATTTTAAAGGCACTGGGACAGGAAGCGTGCAAATAGCCTGCTACCAGCTCAAGCAGAGGTCAGGGTGCCTGGTCCTGTGCTTTTAACCTCCATGTCTGGTAACACTTAATCCCAGGATCTTTCTGGTTTTTTTCAAAGTACATCACCGTTCTTCTAAGAGGGGACAGTTCATATCACCTTGTTCGGTAAATAGTGTCACATCCTAGGATTTGACAGTTACAGACGCAGGTCTCACGTAAAAGCTCTTTTCTGAGAATCACATCATCCACAAAAGAGCAAATGGACTTAGTGGTGAGCTAATGAAATGCTGAGTCCCAGGCACGATTCAATTTTATGAGTAAGCGCTTTTCTTGTCCTTAGCAAAATCCAACAGCAACCTTCAGCCATGCAGAAACAAAGAAAATGTCTCATAGTTCTTAACTCCCATTGATTCTACTCTTTCAGTTAAGAGAAATCTAGACCAAAGGAGTACTTCTGTGCTTGCAGATGTGACTTATCTCCATGAGACAACTGTACTGTAGCAGTAAGCTGCGTGGAAATAAAAGGCGGGGCATCCCTGTCAGTAGAAGCCTGGTTAATTCTGGGTTGAATTAGTTTATTTATACTCCATTTAGGTTCAGACAGATTCTCACTGCCATCTGGTTCCCAGAGAACAGCTAGAACAAGCACAGTGAAATCTGTGCTTAGATTTAATTTATCAGACTTTCATGTCTTGCTCTATCTGTGTTACCACACAATTTCATAAGACGAGGAACTTTAGGCACACCAAAGTTGTTGGACAACAAAAACAAAAGCTAGTGATGTAAAACCTCAATCAGACTAAAGAGCAAGGTATAGTTAGAGTCTGAATATAGGCACCTATTGATTCTTTGCTGCTTAAAGGGATAGTGAGGATTCAGAAGAAGAACCTGGGAATACCCATGTCCTCTGCTGTCTGGGGGAGTCTGGTTCTCTCGTCATTCAGGATGATTCAGGCTGGGTTCTGTTTACTCTAGAATGCATCTTCAGTCTTAGACATTGGGTCCTGCTGCAAGTTTTGTTCCAAAGACAGAACCTTGGGTCTCATATGTTTGCTTTAATTCTGCATTTATTGGAGATATGGAGGGATGTATCTCTGTTTCTGTAGGATGGTCTTCCAGATAGATAGAAATGCTACCTCAATTTTGAGAGTTATCTGTTGACATCACTTGTTTTGTAGTGACAAAACAGGACGAGGGAGTGTTACACAGTTTAAGATATAACTGCATGTCCTCTAGGATTTGATCTTTCAGCTTCAAATTACAGATTTACATCAGTCTGTGAATGCTCTGTGCTAGACATGCACATTATCCAGGGATCTCCCAGTTGAACTAGTATTCTATTTAATTTCTCCTTGAAGAGGTGTTGGTAATATACTTTTTTAGCTTATAATGGATCTCTGGGCTCTGGAGAGTAACTTTTTAATCTGCTGACTTTAGAAGTTGTAATACATCATCTCATTTTGGAGTTTTCAAACAGGAGGCCATACACCTGATTAAACTGGTTTATAATATATGCTGTAAAACATAAGTGCAACTTTAACACTGCTGTGTATATGTGCTTATCATGCATATCCTGTAGTTAAAATTTGCCTTGGAAATGGCTCACCTCAGTAGCTAGGTAGGATTTTTCCCTACTGACAGGTCTAGTTTCTCTCTGTGTAGCTCCATGCATACCAAGGATCTGCTGCTCTTTAGACCTCGTCCTCAAAGGTTTAATACACTGAGCAGTTTTGTTTATGTGAGGCTTGTCTGCTCTCTCTTTTATTTCTGGCCTGATTTCCTCTGACTAAAAATACTGGAAAAAGTATATATCAAAATTAGAATCCAAGCCCCAAATCACAGCTACATCTGAGGCCTGTAATATTGTTGAGTATCTGCAACTTTCTAATTACAGACTCTGAACCTCATAAATAGGGAGGTTAAAAAAACAAGGTTGAACCTGATGTATGATCTTGCATATTAAATGTGTGGGGTTTAATCTCTTGATGATGAAAGATTTAGTTGTCTGTTCAGAAGAGATATGGGGATAAACATGGGTGACACAACTGAGAGAGCATTTTAAATTGCTTTTCTGTTCCTTTTGATTCTTCTGACACTTTAGTGCTAGATCTTCATTTGTTTATATTGAAGTTCCTCAGTTTTGTTAGCACTTATTTTGTCAGAGCTATATTTGAATTCTCTTTTCAGTGTCAGACACACAATTACATTGAAGCTCAGTGGTGTAAAATGTATTTTATAATCGCAGTATCAGCATCTTGAATCACTGTTCCTAGAAAATGCTCTCCTAGGATCTGGTTGATATTTTTGTAACTGTGGAGCACAATGTTGCACGTTTGCCTGTTATTAAAGGATAGACATACAGTTCAAGAATTGTGTGATTGAGAATATGCTATTTTTAATGCAGAATTGGTTGTACTCAAGAAAGCTGCTACTAGAAAAATAGAAGATATCTTGTCTCTGGGATGGAATGCCTCTTCTGGCAGGAGCAGACTTTTGGGATCTTGAGGAGTCACAGGAGCCTTTGTAATGCTGGGTGGTTGTCACTGGTTTGTCTCGTGCTGTAGTTGCAAAGGCAAGGGCAGGTATAGTTTGTAGCAAAATTGAAAAACACAACTTGCATAATATAAAGAGAGAAACCTTTTGACAAGATCTCAGATGTCTTCGATAAATAACAGCTGCTTTTTAAAGTAGGGTTTCTTGACTGTGTAAGTTGTTGCTTAGTATAAATATTATTTTCAAACAGATCTGGTTATGTGCACACATTGTGATAAACTGTCTTAATTCTGTTTGCTCTCTTTGCAGGCTGCGGACTTGAGTAAACCAATAGACAAAAGGATATACAAAGGAACACAGCCTACATGCCATGACTTCAATCACTTAACAGCCACAGCAGAAAGTGTGTCTCTTCTAGTGGGCTTCTCCGCAGGCCAGGTCCAGCTTATAGACCCTATTAAAAAAGAAACTAGCAAATTATTTAATGAGGAAGTAAGTAGAAATCTTAACATTGTTGCATGCACTGTGTCTGTGATATTGAAGTTCCCTAGATTTTCCAAGTTCTGTAGCTGGTTCCATTTGCCCATGTAGCTTCTTGTTCAGTTGCAGCCTTTATTTTTCAGCTGTTCCATCGGCTTGGAATACCTACACAAAAATGCTGTTCATGAAGGCATCTTATGGGGTTTAAGATTAAATAAGGATTTTCCGATTTGAATAGTACTGTAACTGGTTGATGTCAGTTTACTGATGGAAATAAGGTCTACAAATCTAAATGTTGCTGTGTGTGCTCTGCAGTCAGTTGTTTCTGAGGCTTCTGGTTGCCAATGCAGAAAAAAAGCTTTTAAACCCCTACTTAACTAATGCATTATGGTCAAAATGTTAAATAAGTTAAAAATACCAATTTTTATGGTCAGGACGTTACAGTGGAAACTGCCTGTGTTGAGTATTCTTAAAGGCTTGTTTGGAGAAGAGTGGGATATTAAGCTGAGTGCTGCATTGAAAAAGCTGAAGGGTTATGAGGTCTTGGCCATGTGATGTTCCTGAAGGAAACTCTCCATCTGCTTTTTCTGCTGCTATGCAGTAAGGAAAGATAGAAGGAGTACTATGTGGCACACTAATGCCAAGTTACAGGACCACTGGCTCTGCTTATCTTGTAGTATTGGCATTCTTAGAAGAGTAAGTGTCCAGAAGCCAACAAGGAAAGAAATCTGGTAACTGGGCCAACTTTGACAGCATTTTCTGCACGAGATAAGCTACAGGAATTTGTGTGGTCTGGGGAGGTGATTTTCTTTCAAGGGGGTGGTCTTTTGCTCCTCTTGTGTTTTAATCCAGCAGGAGGGGTTTGCAGGTCTCTTGTTTGTTTTGTTTGTGGGATTTCTGTTTGTTTTCCTTTTAGAAATTTCAGATCTGGATCAGAACTTTGCAGATGAAGTTAAACATTGCTCACCTTTCAAGCTGAGCAAATATACCTTTCCCATCTCAGAGAGATGTGTTGCCTTGCTTCTTCTTTGTGCAAAGTACATTGAAATATTGTTCTCAATGGGGGTATTTTATAATTAGAACTAATTTCTCCTCAGCTTTCTAAAAGTAGCTACATGTAGATCAGAAGAGGGGTGTTTTTCTTGTTACCTGGCCTTGTCCCAACTGCTCTGTCTCTCTGCTTGTGTTGAGTTGGAAACAGTGCTGGAGAATCTCTTAATGTTGCATGGAGTACTCTGTTGGGTAGAAACTTCTGTATAAGTACTTGAAATGTTAATTTTAGCACATTGTCCTAACACTCCTTCCCCCAAAAATACAACCTGATTTATTCTTGTGTGATAATAGTGTAAGTATTACAAATGGGAGCAGAAATACTTTGAACAGCTAGTTTCATATCACAGAATAGCTCCCAAACTCTTGTAGCTGAACTGTAGTTGCCTTTCACCTGTGCTATAGCCAGGTTACTTCACTGTGGTGGGAATATGTCCTTTGACAGGTGGAAATTTAAATGAGGTGATATATTTTCTACCAGGCTAACATAAGGATTTGCTCAGTGCTGCCAAAAAACTATGCACACAGGCTGCAGTTAAATGACAAATTCTTGTTTCCTATACTGACCTTATCTGTAGTTATAACTAACTCTGATAAAACTTTTATATATATTTTTAATCTGTCAGTTATAGTATTGAGGTTTGCTCTGGACGTGTTTGTAAGTTCTGGCTTGTATCTAGAAGCCATTTCAGAGAAACATTAGTGAGCACTGATGTTTGATCCAGTTCATTTGCTTCAAGATGAATGTACCTGTTGGGTTTTGAATATATTTAGGGTTTAGGTAGTGTTTGAGAATAAACATTTCTTCATAAGGTGGTCTAAATGAGTGTTTACATCGTTCAACAGCTCTAGCTCTAGTGCTAGAGGTAATAGAATTCATCACCTGTCCTGTTAATAATTTGGTGATTCAGGAAGCCCAAAGCTCTGTTTGGACTATCACCTGTGATAGCACTTAACCATGTGTGATATGTGAAATAACTCAACCTGTTATGGCACAGAAGGTTATGTTAAACATAGACTACATTAAAGCTATTGCATTTTAACTTGTTACTCTTCCTCTTTTTTTTTTTTTTTTTTTTTTTTTTTTAATTCTATTGATGTAGAAGACAGTAGGGACTTGAAAGGCTGAGGTGAGTGATACTGTGCAGCTTGTGACTGCCTGCCAAAATCAGTCTGTGTCAACAGTGGTACTCCTTCCAACTGTGACAAAATTAAAGTGCTAAAAGTTATAACTTCAGAGTTTTTATCTTCCTGCTGAATTTAAAGCTCTGCTGGTTGAGAAGGGGATGAGTTGTAGTCACTTGCTGCACATCGATTTTAAGTCTCTCTGCATCTTGTCTCCTTGAGCTGATCTGTTCTCATTGCAAATTGCAGTTGTCTGTTTTTCACAGCCTCCTTGCAGTAAAGATGAGATTTGCAGGTCTTCTGTGCAGTATTTAGGATCATGTAGCCCAATGTGATTATGGATGTCAAATGCCATTTCTGGTATAAAAGTTGAGCGGCTGCTCTCCCAAGTAGAGGCTGTATGTCAGATTGAGCTGCTTTAGTAGAGGAGAGCAAGAAACTTTGCTTTTGCTGCCATATTAGTGATGAGAAGACTGTTGCCTTTAGCAAGGCAGAGAGCTGATGTTCCCTGTCTGTGTTCTCCTAATGTGTGCAGGTGCATACCTGTCTAATTTCAGATATCATCATTATTGAGACCTCAATGATATATCAGTGAACACTTGAAGAACTGTTTAAAATGTCACAACAGAATCGCAGAATATATTACTTTAAAGCTGCCACATTTGAAAGAAATTTGCCAGATTTAGTTACATCTCTCAGCTCTCAAATACAGCATGGCAAATTTAACCAATGAGGAAATACAGGAGAAAGACTTGCTGGTTTTACACTGAGGCTTGACAACAGGAGAAGTATGATCTAAAATGGCCAGGTGCTGCTTTCCAGTGACAGTTACAGGCCCAGAAATGTAACAGTCAATGTAGGATCCATTAGTTTGGGTTTTTTCTGTATGACAAACAGCACAGTAAGTTTTTTTTGGGGAATCTTTTTTCTTCTTTGTTTGTAAGGCTTTTGTAACTTGTTCTGGTATCCCTTAGGCTCTTTGTATTTTCATTCTTGCCTTTTGTGTAGCTCAGCTCTTCTTTCAGCTTATAACCAGTATGCCAAGTACAAATCTTGAATGTGCTTGTAAAGAATTACTTGTCTGCAAGTTGCAGCTGAGTGGTGCCGTGGTCAAATTGGTAAGTTTTAGAAGTCCAACAGAACTGCAGTAGCAAACTCAAGGAGTCAAACTTTACCTCTCAGTTCTTAGAGCATTGAAGACATCATGACCAGGAGCATTTGTTTAATGTTTGTTCATTCTTTTGCAATGATAGACTCTGTAAAAATGTTTTGCTTTAAAAGAAACTGCTTAATCAGGTCGTAACAGTATTGGCAGGTCCTTGGCTCTTGAAAGAAAAGTAGTTGGAGGGTGAGGATTCCAAGGTGAAGAGTATGTGGTACCTTCTGAATTCACCAAACCACACACATTTACCTACTGCCTTTCCAGCCACATGATAACAAGGTCACTTTGTGTGTAGCCTTTGCTCCCTGAATCAGTAAAAGCTGCTGGAGGCTCCTAAAGCCTCCGTTTCAGAGGTTGGATTTTTTTTGTGATTTCAGATAAAAACAGAGCCTGAATTTACTGTTGTTGATTTGTAACCTGTTTGCTCTATAACCCAGATGAGTAACTGCCTTTTTCCTTTTTAGCTTGTTTGGTGTTTTCTTGTTTCATTTTCATGTTCTTCAACCTACACAGGGAAAAGTAAACCAAAGAGCAGTACCCTCAGATGCATAGCAACAGATTGGCTTGATTGAAGTATGATCTTTGTGGAATGTGACTGGACCATAATAACAACCTTTGAAAGTACTTTGTCTGAAAATAATTTCCTCTTTACTGCCTAATAAGTTTTTGCAAATACAGTAACGTAGTTCCTGTCTAGAAAGTTGAGTTCACTTTAATTGTTCCTCATCCCCCAGAGAGCTCAGTTTTACAATTAATCATGAAAACTTTAATTTTTCAGACTTTCTGATGTGTATCTTCTTTGTTTTTCACAGAGACTAATAGACAAGTCCAGAGTAACCTGTGTAAAATGGGTACCGGGTTCGGAAAGCCTTTTCCTAGTAGCTCATTCCAGTGGCAATATGTACTTGTATAACGTGGAGCACACTTGTGGTACCACAGCCCCGCACTACCAGCTACTTAAACAAGGAGAGAGTTTTGCAGTGCACACTTGCAAGAGTAAATCCACAAGAAACCCTCTGCTTAAATGGACAGTAGGTGAGGGTGCCCTGAATGAATTTGCCTTTTCCCCTGATGGGAAGTTCTTGGCGTGCGTGAGCCAGGATGGTTTTCTTCGCGTGTTTAACTTTGATTCGGTGGAGTTGCATGGTACAATGAAAAGCTACTTTGGAGGACTGCTGTGTGTGTGTTGGAGTCCCGATGGGAAGTACATAGTGACAGGTGGAGAGGATGACTTGGTGACAGTTTGGTCTTTCGTGGACTGTCGAGTCATAGCGAGAGGCCACGGACACAAATCATGGGTCAGTGTCGTTGCGTTTGATCCCTATACCACTAGTGTAGAAGAGAGTGACCCGATGGAATTTAGCGGAAGTGATGAGGATTTCCAAGACCTCCATTTTGGCAGAGATCGAGCCAATAGCACGCAATCTAGATTATCCAAAAGGAACTCTACAGACAGTCGTCCAGTAAGTGTTACATATAGATTTGGTTCAGTAGGCCAGGACACACAGCTCTGTTTGTGGGATCTTACAGAAGATATCCTCTTCCCCCACCAACCTCTCTCAAGAGCAAGGACACATACAAATGTCATGAATGCCACAAGTCCACCTGCAGGAAGTGGTGGAACTAACCCGGGAAGTAATGGAAACAGTATCACAACACCTGGAAACTCTGTACCCCCTCCTCTTCCACGATCAAACAGCCTTCCACACTCTGCAGTCTCAAATGCTGGCAGTAAAAGCAGTGTCATGGATGGTGCCATTGCTTCTGGCGTTAGTAAATTTGCAACCTTATCGCTACATGATCGGAAGGAAAGACACCATGAAAAAGATCACAAGAGAAACCATAGCATGGGACATATATCTAGCAAGAGCAGTGACAAACTGAACCTAGTTACTAAAACCAAAACGGACCCAGCTAAAACTTTGGGAACACCTCTCTGTCCCCGAATGGAAGATGTTCCCTTGTTAGAGCCTCTTATCTGTAAAAAGATAGCACATGAAAGACTGACTGTGTTAATTTTTCTTGAAGACTGTATAGTCACTGCTTGTCAGGAGGGATTTATTTGCACATGGGCAAGGCCTGGTAAAGTGGTAAGTTTTAATCCTTAATGCTGCATCAAAGAACTAGAACTCTGAATAGATAGTTTTCTTGAAATATAAATGAATGTTGAATATAAAATTTCTTTATGCTTAATGTAAAAAAAAATATCCTCAGAGCCATACTTTTGGATACTGCATGCCATATTTCTGAATGATTTGAAGTGTCTTGGATACAATTATTAAGTATAGTTGCCTTCCAGCAGAAGAAATAAATACTGTGCATCTAAACTATTGATCAGTGTTCTTATACTTAAGCATAACCACAATATGGTGAAAGCTGTTTATGTAAAAATTGAAGTAAAACCTGTCAAACACTAAAATAATTATAATCCTTCTAACTTTTTCTACAAAATACAGCACTCCCAATGAGAGTAGCTTACGAAAAGCTGCTGCTTTTAAGTCTAATGAGAAATGTGAGCCTCTGAAAAAATGAAAGCCAAAGTGTTTTATTCCTCCATACTTTTCTGTGGTGGCCTGCCATTAATGTGAAACCACTTCTTATTCAAACATCAGGCATTTTATGCACAGATTTGTGAGCCCTGTACTGACTGTAGCTTATGCTCTTGAAATTGTGAATCAGTATTATCAAGAAACTCTAATTTTAGCCAGGTATTGATTTATGTATTTAAGTTAGATCAAATCCTGCAGGCTTTCTCTGAGTAGTTTCAGTGTTCTGTTCCTGTCAGGTTTTAGGCAATTTGATCATGGACAAGCTCGTGCTCTTGATGGCACCTGTTCCATCAATTGAACCTACATTAAAATCTATTACTAGTTCTAACTCTTGTTGTTAATGCACTTGAACACCTATAAAACTTTATTTTTCCTTCTGTCCAATGTATAGCAAGCTAAATTTTTAATGAAGCTAAATGTGGTGATTCTTTTGTTAAAAAGTACTTTGTGCTACAGTAGCTCTGTCTGCCAGCAACAGTTCAAAGGAATACAGCTATGAAAACATTACCAGAGTTGGTCTGGCAAAAAGGACCATTATTTTGGTGAAAATTTCTGAAAGGGGATGTAGATTATCACCTGAAGTAAAAGAGATTATCTGGTAATACCTGAATATTGCCATGTTGGGCAACCTAAATGAAAATCTGTTGTTCGTTAGGTTTTAACCGCTTGGTTCATAAATCTGACTTTTGAAGTGGAGGTACTGTATATATTTAGATACCACATCTTCATTGCTATAAACTTTCAAGTAAAACTCAATTTTTCTTAGAACTGTTTGTATAATGTAGGTTTCTTTGAGATGTTATCAAATTTGTCACAACATAGGTGTATGCATAGAGAGCTGTGTCTGCTCTGCATCTTAAGGCATATTTAAAGGTTGAATCTAAAACTAAAAGTTGTAAACCCTTCTCTGGGGAGAAGGGAGGAGGGTGTTACCTAAAAGTATTTTTTTGTCTCAAAACTAGAGATTCAGCATTAATGGAAGGGGAAAAAAAAAAAAAAGAGCATCCCCTCAGAATACTAAACTGTTTAAAACATTTGTCCTAAATGAAAATACTAAAGCAGTTATACTTTTGTGACTCAGTGCACTTCATATCTTATGAATTAACTTTAGATGCTTACAGCAGTGCCTCAGATTGCTATTGTGAGCTATATTTTCTTTTGGTTCTAAAACTCCTTTGCATACTACTAAACACTACATTGTTACATTTATTTTCAGTGGCTGAGGTGGGTTTTGTTAGACTGAGTATAACTTAAATATTTTTGTGTATTGACTTTGATTTGGAATATGACATTTCAAATATTTCAGAGATAAAGTATGCAGTACCAAAAATCAGGATTTATGTATTGGCCAATATGGAAAACTTTAATTACAGGTAAGTAATTTTCATGCTGAAGTTATCACTTTCAAAATTAATATATTGCACACTGATGTAAATGCCATATTGTTTAGGATGTATTTACTTAGAAATTTTCAAATTAATTTGTTTTTCTGATTTCACTTGCATTTCTAGTGAGCTCACTCTGCTGGTAAAAACTAAATTTTGAGGGCATGTTTACAGGGCTTTGATAAGAAAATACTTGTGCCAGAAGGACGTTATGAGCATCCTTTTTGTTTATAGGAAAGCACTTAATTTTATTTAATGAGAATTGTCAAAGTATAAAACACTCATGGTGATGTCTTTCTTACTGGGTTATATACCATCATTTCTATTTCATCAGCTGCTTTATCCTAGGCTGTCCATTACTCTGGGGTTTAAAGTTGCTATTTCTAGTCTTCCTTTGAAATATGGGTCCCCAAATTATTTTAAAACTCCATCACTTTTTTGTCTGCCAACTCTATAGAGAGAAAGCTTCTGAATCTTGCTGCTGTTTCCATCATTGCCTTCAAAAGGCCTTCAATAAATTGATGCCACTGCCAGCCTAAAGAAAGAATTGGATGGAAAAGTGAAGGAGGCTTGCGGTGTCTAATGTAATTGCCATTGAGCCTACCTTTCCCTCTCATTTCCAATATCCATCAAAAGACATGTTGGATAATTGGACAGTGTATGACGAATTCTGTTTATTTTTCTGGTTGGGCTGGCGCTGCCCTGAGTGGAAAATAAATCCAGAAGTGTCTCTTCAGCCATGATCCTTATGATAGTTGATAGGCTGTACAGTGCTGACAGTGTCCTGGCAGTTTGTTTATAAACTTTCCAAATTACTGCTTCTGTGTGTCCAAAATCATACCTTGAGCTTCCTCACGGGATGTACCGTTCTTGCAGTGCACTTCCAGAACTGCTGTGTGAAATCCCAGTCAGTGAGGTGAAGTGAATGGCAAAATTCAATTAGAAGCAAGTTGGATGAGGCTTTTTTAGTCTTATTTTTTGTTAGCCTGTTTCTGTGGAATAAGGTTCAGGTGGTGAGAAAAATAGGTTGCCTTAACAAGAGTATGAACTTTTCTTCTCAGCGTGGTGACAATGAGCTGTCATCTCTCACCCCTGCCTTTCCCAGGCCCTGATAGGAAACCTAAATAGGATTAGAGAACTCTTGGATTAATCTGAAAACATAGCAAAAGTATTTTAAAGGAACCAAGGTAAACTTTATGTGCTCTCTATATAGCTATTTCAAACTGAATTACAGGATCTGCAGAAGCAATTAAAAAACCCCAGCAAAACTCCCAAAAAACCAAAGTGGTACCTGGATATGCAAAACAGCTTTTTTCTGAATTTAATGGTCAGAGGCACTGCCTGTGTGATTCCCGTGTTTGACTTTAGAATTGACTTTGCAGCGACTCCATTTTACATGAATGAAAGTTGCTGATCGAGTTTCCCGTGTGAGAAAGCTCGAGGTAAGATTGGCCAGAAGCACCCCTAGGTGAAATGGCAGTGTATAACCTAGCAAGAGAAACATGCTACCACTTTGTAAAACAAATGCACATGGAATTTATTTATTTGACTTATTGTACAGGAAAACTTAGACTTAAATTATAACATCCTTGAATTTTCTAGTTAACTACAATTGTAGTACAGTATCATGTTTTAGTATGACTTCTGTTTTAGTGAAAGTACTTAAGCATTCATGTACTATATTTGAGTGAGATGAGCAGCTATACATACTAATTCTTCCTCAATGGAAAGGAGCATTTCATCATTACAATTGAAGTTCAATTGCTGGTATTTAAGTACTATCAAATAGATTTCTTTCAACGTGATACGGTATCTGTATAAACTTCAGGGATGATTATAGTAAAACTGAAACACAGCTATACGACATCAGGTTACCATGCTAAAATTTGAAGCTTTCTGTAATGTGCATAATAGCAAAGTTGCACATGGCCTACCCCCATTATCAGGGTGAATTAAAGCCTAGTACACTGGTGTGATATTTATAGCAAGGTATGTGTGTGTGTGTGAGTGAGGAGGTGTGAATAGTGGCTCCAGTAAAGCCAGGAGAGATCATAACCCTGTAAAGGCTTTATGATTAGGATGTCTGGACTAGGAAATAACATGACTTTTACTAAATACTTTCTAGAAAACCCATGTTCTGAATTATCACCTCTTAAAATTTGAGTATGTACTTGGAATGACTGTATATGTCTGCCCCTTTAACAACATAAAGCTACTAAATTAATATTTAAAATGCTGGCCTGCTTATGTTACAATAATAAAATTTGTGTCAGTTAATTTACTGTCAATTTACTTGTAAAGATTAAACTATTTTTTCTGCATTTTATGATTCTGTATACTGGAGTTTGTTAAAGATTGACATGTTAGGTGATACTGTACAAAATTGTATTGACTACCTTTAGTGAAAATCAAAAGTAAAATTCATATGTATTTCCTTTTTACACTTCCATCTAATTTCTTGACAACTTGAATAAATTTCATAGAGCCTTTCTAACATGAACTATTGTTAATTTAACTGTTGCAATAATTAAGCTTTAAGAAGTATTGTTGGTATATTTATAATTTTAAGAAGATCATGTTTGTTTCATACTGCTTATTTTTAGCTGTTCTATTGTCACTGTTACAGCTGAAGAACTTTACTAAATACTTGACATTACAAAATAACTTGCTGGGGTTGTCCTCTGTATACTGATGTTAAATAAAAATGTGTGATTGAACTGTAAATGTAGATAACTTTCAATAGTCCTTTCCACATTTGAGTTTTAATTTATCTTGCAGTCCTTAGGTGGTCTTATGCTATCACACTGTGCTGAGCAAATGGCCACAATGAAACTGTTAACTTGCCATATTTTAAAGTCAGAAGTTGTTGGCATCTGTAACTGCTCTGAGTCAATGTTTCACTTCATCTCAAGACGATGCAGATGTTTTAATGTTTAAATCTTGCTGATAAGGTCATGTCTTACGATAGCTATTTTTTTAGGGCTAGAGTAACATGCAACAGAATACTTACCAAACCACTTTTTGAACTTGTTTAAACTCAGATTCAGTAGAACACAGACATGCACGTGTTCAGATTCTCTCCGCCTGTCAGGCAGGAGCTGGGGCAGAGCGTTGTCATTCCTTCTAGGACTCTACAGGAGCTCTTTCCTCTAAGGACTCTGGTGAAGGGTTTGTTCTTGATTCCAGCTTTAGATCTTGGTGTTTACCTAATGAATGCTGAATTTACAGCCCCGAGGATGTGGCTCATGGAGCTGATTCAAGCGAACCAGAAGTAAACTAGTCTAAAACTTTGGCTGCAAAATTTCTTGGGAGTCAATTTCGATGAAGACTTAAGATATTCCCCTTCCACCTGAGGGACTAGGGATTGTGTCACCCTTGCAGCAGTGGTTCTGTGTTAACCGGTGAAAGAGCCACACAAATGATGTTTACTAAAGTGTTTCAAAGGAATTTTTCAGGATTTCCAGTGTAAAAGTGAGTTACTTTGGGCCCAGACTGACAGGGAGGAGTGTTGTTTGTCTCTTATGTAAAAATACTCTCTAAGCTAAAGCTGAGGGAATCCTCTTTCTTCGGTGAACTTGAGAACTCTGTGGTACTTCAGAAGGTATTGATTGACCAGTGTGATGATCTATACATAGAACATAAATGTATATTTAAGAACAGGTGCCAGTATAGGAACAAAATGAAATCTGCTTGAAAGCTTCTGGGAACATCCAGTTACATCAAATGATGCAAGAACTGCTTGGTCAAACCAGTTTCTCTGAAGTCAATGTGAGCCTGAAACAAAACCAACTTCCACAGGGTTTGTGGTCAGAGAAGATTTGGCAAAAAGATGTCTTGGAACATGAAGGCGTCATCTTGCTTGTCTTTAATAGTGTTGCACAAACTTCTCAAGGAAATAACTTGTATGATCACGTTATTTTCTGGGTTTTTAAGCTGGATTTTAGGTAGCTGCTGGTCAACCTTATCAAATTCATTTGCCTCTTTTCTTCTGCTGAGACCAGATTCACTTTACAGCTAAACCCAGATGGGGTTGCCTTAAGCCATATGCTTTTCCCTGAGGTTTTCCCTGGTTTATCTCAATTTTGTTATTTTCTAATCTGAAAATTTTACACCTTACTGACTTTTGTAGTTTGAGGAAACTAGAGAAACTATTCCTGAGCATGTGAGCCTCTACTGCCTAAGTGAAGCTTAAGGTCCTGTTGTTCCAGGCAGGTCAGATCTCTGCTGGCAAAAGCCCTTTTTGCCTTTCCCAGCGCACAAGTAGTTGCATCTTAACTTTTTTTTTCCTCTTGGACGTACCTATCTTCTGTTTACCAACCATACATTATTCTTGATGTCATCTTGCCTAATACCACTGGACAGATTTTTAGTTAGTCTACTTGTTTTCTACCAGCCTTGACTTTGCTTTTTGTTGACAATGAATAAAATGGTGATACAGGTCTGTTAGGAAAAAAACCTCTTTTATGTACACAGAAGAGGAGTTGCAAGTGAAACCTTGAAACTACTACAGTCTTTTAGAAGGTCTGGTGTCAAATGGTTTAAGCATTTATACTTTTCTGTAATGCTGTTAGAACAAAGAAAAAAAGGCAAATGGAAGACAAACAATAAATTTAAAATTCCTTTTAGTGAACACACAAACTGCGTAAAGAAGGGTATCAGCTTTGCTGATACATAAATCCCATACAAACTATTTCTAGCATGTTAAGTGAATGTTCATCATGTGCTTTCCTGAGCATTCTCAGTTAAGCAATTTTATCTCCATTAGAGATTAACATCTGATTTAGTGAGTATATGCAGTTCAGAGACTTTTATTCAAATGAATCAGCATTTATTTAACAAGAAACTGTTGGAGAATTTGTTTGTGCAAAACTTAAAACCAGTTCAGCTGATTTGACTACAGAATTTTAAACAAATGTGAGAAATCTCATTCTGTTTTTGGCATATTATTGCTCAAATACTGTAATGGATGTGGGCTCTTTTGTCAAGCAAAGGTCTCAGTCAAGATTACTTTGCTAAACAAAATAAGAATAAACTACCCATGGAATATTTTTCAAATAATAAATTCCCATTATTTCAAATACTGGGAATAGTAGAAATGGTTTAACAAGTCAGTGCCATTTTTGTTATGGGCATTTGTTAATTCAGCCATATTTTAATTGGTTTAATTGCATTAGTGAAGTGTTCTATGAGACTTTTTTTTACATTGGATTGTTTGTTGTGTTGAACCCTTTGTTTTTAATACCTTTCAATTTCAAAACAGAAAGTAGAGAGAGGAGCAGTTTGACATCCAGCACATTCCTGAGAGCCAAGGGAGCTGTTTCCCTGAAGGAGTTGCTCCTGTCCAGGGCAAAGGGAGCCTGTGCCCAGAGCCTCGTGAAGGAGCACGGAGCACGTGCACTTCCTGTAAACCACTCATGTGCCCAAACTTGCCCTTTATGATTGCACCTTTGGCTCCAATTAAATCTCTTCTAATTTAAATGAAGAAAATATTAACTCAAGAGTTACTGTTGACTTTCTTCCTACTTAGAAGTATCATAGTATCTTCCTGGGTTTTTGTTTTTAATGCAGCAATTACACGCTGATCTTTCATAGAATTAGTTTCTGCTGTGAAACCTTATGTTTCATGTCTTTTGAAAAAAAGCCAGACTTTCATCTGGAGTGTATATGGAATTTTTAAAAAAATACCTACCCATGCAATCTCCTGAATGGGGAGGAGGGTTTGTCTTTGCTGCAGGTCCTCAGACCCCAGCTCTGAGTGCCCTGAACCTCGGGTGCAAATGACCCTCCTGATCCTGTTTGTTGGGGCTTTTCATTCCTACCCAGACAAGCCTGTTTTTACCAGATATGCAAAGTCCTGTGTGTTTCAGGAAGTCAGAGAATGCATGGACAAACATGGATAGCCCCAGCAGCTACTGCTGACACAGCCTCTGTTCAGTACTCAGCGCTATTTGACTGAGGAAAAGTGACACCATCCTCTGAAAGCTGCATCTCTCATTCGTCATCCGCAGTGTCCACTAAGATGGCAGATGGGGTAGCACCCACTTGGAGGACCCTCCGAGGTTGAGATGAACATTGTTTTATCAAATTCCTGCCTTGTATCTCATAACTCTTCCATTTCCCACCCCCTGCTAGATCCACGTGCTGACAGACTGTACTACTACAACACTACAGTTATTTCCAAAACCTTTTTGAGCAGTCTCTTAATTTATCTGTGCTGCTTTCTCAGTGGGTTATGTTCGTCCCAGAGCCCGAAGCTGCTGCGCTGCCCGGCAGAGCTGTGGCTGCCATGGCTCTGCTCTTCCATGTTCCTGTCACAGCTGTTCAGTGGGGCAGCTTGGCTGTTGCCCCAGTAAGTTGCTGCAGCTTCTGTTCCATCTTTTCCCACCTCGTTGAGCAGACTGGGTGGTTCCATGACAGCAGGCACTGTGCTTTCATGGCTTTATTCTTTAGTTACAGGCAGGAGCTTTTTATATTTTTTCATAACCTTACCCATCGTATTATTCCAGAGAACACAATTACAACTGTTCTAGTCCCATACCCTTTGTATTACAGACCAGACTCTTATGGGGGAACTTCTGTAGCAAAAGAATAACTTTATTTGAGCCCTCACTTGCTTTTCTAACATTGTTTTTAAAGTTTCCTGTTACACTTGACACAACTTCTTTCATAGCCTTACTTGGCTCTGGTATAATGGCAAAATTCTGTACAATCTTTGTTGTTTCTCAGGATACATGAAGAGCTTTCACCATTTTGGTGAAACTTCTGTGCCTAAAAACCAAATTCATATTCTTGCTTTTCTTATATGAACATCTAAGGTGTCTTCTGAAATGAAGTACTTGGAAATGCTCATAGACTTTCTGGTCTCTCCAGTGGGAGTGAAGTTCTGAATGGCCATTGTAGCCTGGTCCCACATTTTAAGGAAGGACTTGCAAAGTTTTCTTCTATTTGCAGGAGCAGGAGGATATTGATCCTGAGATCATTTCCACAGCAGTGTTCCTCTGGCTTGCCTGCTCAGAGTTGCAGAATTAATTCAGAGCAAGGACTGAAATAGTGGGAGTTCCTAGGACTCACTCAAAGCCATCTGCACTGCTGCTCTGGCAGTGCATTCATGGCCTGGGAGATGAAACCAGGACTGACTCCATGTTCCTGCATTTGGAACTTGAATTCCAGGGTGGCTGGTAGTTACGGAGAATAAGGCACTGCATTGAATTTCGGTATGTGCTGCCAGTTTCTAGAGGAATTCTAGGAAAATGAATGACTCTTCCTTTTGTTTCCCAAAAACTAGTTGTGTTACAGCATAAATCCAATACTAGGACAGTGGTTATTTCTCCCTCTCTCTAGTGTGGTTATGAGCCTGTTGAAAAAGACTTGATATCATGCCATCCCTAGTGCTTCCTGTGTGCTTATAAAGCACATATTTGCATATGAATAGTTTGGATTGCTGATTTATTAAAGACTGAAAATAATACCTTTGGACGTCTTTTTCCAGGGTACTTGAAAGTTGCTTAGTGGATGTAATCTTCTGGCAAGAAAGACCTTCCAGTTGCTGCTGGATTTAATAGACTTGTGAAGAATGCTTCAGTAATGAACTAGAGAGTTCTGATTCATCCTCATCACTTTCCAACAAAACTTCCTTGGTAAAAAATTTCATAAGTGCTTCAGTGGCTTGTTTGCTCTCAAGTTCTGCCTTCTTTCACCATCTAGTCCTTAACTAATAACTAGGAAGCTTCTTGTTCTCATTAAATATGCAGTATCTTTGCACAGCCTGAATGTCAAGTGCAAAAAACAACCCCCTTCAGTCTACCTCAACAGTGTGAGAGTAACAAAACCCCTGCATAAACCTGAGTACAAATAAAAATAAGTGTCCAAGTCCCTTCAGGTGAGATCTATGGAGGGCACCAAATTAAGTGCCACATCCTTTATTATAAATACATGTTTATTATAAATATGGAATGTATGCACATGTACACAGATCCAGAGTCTGCTATAAATCCAGCAAACTATCCAGGTTCATAATGTGTCTGAACCGGTAGATCAGATGGTTTTTTAAAAGGAAGGGCTTTGGTTTTAGTAGAAACTTGATGACTTGAATCCAGCCAGTCTGCCCTCTTTCCACCTCTTCCATCAGTCATGGTCTCTCATTTCTTGGATCCAAGCATGAAAGAGCTCCTGTAGATTCCGAAGATGGGACATAATTCTAACTTGTATGCTAATTGCTGCCTGAGCTTGTCTAGTTTGATGGATCTGAGTCCCGGGATCCTAATTTCGAGGTAAGGACCTAAGCTGGGAGCTGCTTAGGGGAGTTGCTGAAAGTGCATTTATCATGCCTACATGGTGAGGAGTTGCATGGGGATAGTCTCTGGTGTGCTTCCAGCTGCCAGTGCTCCTCAGCCTGCTGGCACTCGTTAGAACTAAAAAATGACCTTGAAAGAACGCTAAATTGTATTTTGATATTACACTTTTCCTAAATAAGTCTGATAAACAGTTACTTCTACATGAATGATTAAAAAGGGGCTACTGTGCACAAATCTGAAATGTAGTCTGTCCATTGGTATCCACAGGTATAGTTGCCTTAATCCAGAGCAGCAGCCCCTGTGTAGCGAGGGGGCCGCGCAGTCGCGGGGCTGTGTCTGAAATGGAACAGGTCTCTCTTGATTTGAATGGCAGGGTGGTTAAAGCAGGTGGTAAAAAGCTTTCCTGAATGTGAGCTTGAATTGTCATGGGAAACTTTTACTGAGCTCTTGTCAGTGTTCCATTCTCTTTTAAAATCACCAAAACAAATATTTGGTTAGATTATGTATTTTTCTATTCAAAGCTTGTAATACTCGATCACATAAAAGAGATGGAGCGTTTCCCTGTCCGGTCAGGTGTCAAACTTGTTGATAGTGGAATAGGTTTGTTTGTCACTGCCCTAATAAAATGCTGATCACTTTTTTGGTGTATGATTTTTAAAGTTTCACAGTTCACAATGACTCAAAGTGCAAGGTAGATTAAACCAAATGCTGGGATCAGATCCTTTCCGTGTCCTGAACGCACACGTTTTGTTCCCGACTGAGAGCTCTTTGTGTGCTGCTTGGCTGAGACCGTGGTGGCTTAGAGCCTGTGTAGAAGAAGGTGCTGATGTCTGGAGTAAGCAAGTGGTGGTAAAAATAAATTGTACTCATTGTAGGTTCAGGTTAAGAACTTTATAAAATTCATGTCAGGTTCTCTTGCTGGATTAATGTAAACTGCTTTGTTTGCAGGGTTTATTGTCATCCCAAAACCAGGCCAATTCTCCAAGTGGAACTGTAGTATAGCCATCACACTACTGCTAGCAAATCTCTGAACGCAGGACAAGAAGTAATGACAGTGGAACCAGGAGCTGTTCTTCAGGCAAAGAGCATCACAAATTTTAATGTGGCAGAGTGTAAACATGGAATTATGTGAATCACATAGTGACTTGCAAAGGACAAATGCAATGGGTTCTCACTACAGCCGATCCTGGTAGGCTGCTCACCCAAGGAAGAGTTTGCATTGGAGAAAAAGCAAAAAGCTTCCTTTGGTGCTGCAGGAAAAAGTAGTAACATATTTGGTTTTCTTTATACTTTTCAAGTCCAGTGTAATTTAATCTCTCTATATAAATATATAAATAAAAGATATATATATATATATATAGTGTAAAATAAGATATGTTTCTTAAATTCAAGTAAGTTCAATGGTTAAACTAGTACTTCACCATTGTTTATTTTGCACTGATTTTTTTAACCAGAGATGGCTAGAAGACAGCCTGGAATGCACTCATGGAAAATGAAAGTCATTACTTTCTGGCTTCAAAATGTTATTCAGGAAGATGGATGCTGCAATCATAGATTTTTTTAAAACAAAATTGTTTTGCACTTAAATAGTTTAATGCTAATAGAGAATTACTTTAAAATTGGTGTTCAGACACCAGAAAAACTATGTTGTGGAGAAAAGATCCTTTGTATCTATTAAACATTTATTTTAATATTGTTGTTTTCAACGGCAATCGGCTCTGTATTATATGTATAAATAATGTAATTCAGTGATGGGGGAGGGGAGTAACGGATCATTACACTAGAGATTCTCATTCATTTAAGAAAGTGATATTTCTAATTCAGAAAATACATATTAAACTATCTTGAATATGCATTTTTGTTTACTTTCTGTTCAAATTCGATCACTTTTGATGTAACCGATCCTTTGTTGAATTAAATGTTTGGTACAGAAATACTATCTAAACTTTGTAGAACAAATTCCTTTCAAAAATATCTCACCTAGAGTATTACTTCTTATTTAATAGAGTTGAATTTCACTTAAGAAAGTGAAATACAATTGTTCTGTTCTCATTCCTAACAGCTTATCTCCAAGCACATAATGAAGTTTAAATACATCATACAGCACAGGTCTCACAGGCAGAGCTTCATGAGGTGATCCTGTAGTCTCGTGTGTTTGGAGTTGGGAAGTGGAAGATCCCAGAGTAGTAGCTGTACACTCTTTCTGACTTGGCAGTCAGAAACTGGGTCAACATACTGGAGTATTCTGAGACTCTTTTGTTTTACATCAGGCATCTCATTTATAATTCAACGCTCTTAAACTGATAAGTGTGACAGGGTCAGACAGATCCATGGATTTGCAGAGGTGAAACGCTGTTTGTCTGAACACTCCTCATTTTTAACCAGTCAGCAACACAACACACAACACTTAAATTGTTTTCAGTAGTTCTTGCAAAGATTAACTCCTCTTTCCCCCCAGAGATGCTGCTCCATGTCAAGCCTTGGAAAATAGAAGTATCCATCACATTCTTCCCTTTATCCTATGTAGCAGTGATCACAATTGGGATTTTGGAATCCTGCAGGCAGAGTGGAATGGAGGCTGCTCGCCTGGGACCGTGAACTTGCCTGAGGGTGTACGAGCTGTACCTGAGGCACATGTTACTGCCCTTCCTGCTCTCCAACGATAAAGCCTGGTAGAAATTTTTTAATTACATGTAAAATTTAGACATTTTCTGGCATGAGAAGTGATTTTTTTCCCCCAGAAATTAACGAAAATTTTGGGAGAAGCAGCTGCAGTGTCTCCTTGTAACTAAGTCTTAATCTTGCTATGCAGCCATGTAGGGAACTGCTAGATATGTTTATAAGCTGGGAATTAGTTGCCTACTTTATTCAAGATGGAGCTGTACTTTACAATGCTTATCTATTTGTGTTCTTCTAAAATACAAGGGATGCGGAAAATACTGAAACTGAGCAGGATTATTGTTCAGAAGTCTTGTTTTATTAACATAGTGGGTTTAACTGTTAAAATACAGATAAACCTTGTCACTGAAAACTAGTGTAGTTATCTCTCTGTAGACTTCTTTTATGTATGTGCTTCATACGATCTGAGTCAAAATGAAAGAGTTGACAAAATATGCAGTAACTTTAAAAGACTTTTTTCCTTCAGCTGGAAAAATACAAAACCAGTATGGAAAGAACTGCAGTATCCAACATCAGGGTAACAACAGGAGCTACTCGTATCCATGTTGTCCGTGCCACAAGTTCAGCAGCACACAAGGAATATTGTGTGGGTTTTCTTTTTTTCAGCCTCTTCTTGACTATTTGGGCAATCATCTAGAAGTTTGAACTGCTCGTGCCACACTCTATACCATAGGGAAAAAAAATCTTATAGGAATAAATAGGATACTAATAACTTACCGGGAAAGAACTTAGAGTTCTACTGTAGATACAGCTCTTAATAAACTTTTTCCTAGTACATTAAAAAAATAATTAACAGTGAGTGGAACAAATAATCTCAATATGAAATTTTAGCTGAGAGAATGAGGGTAGGAACAATACTTGCCAATTTGCAGTTTAAAGTTTGATGTATTGTAACTATAAAGCAGGTGGAAAACTCAGGTTTGCTTATTCATCCAACTGCCAGAGAAGTGTAAATTGTCTCCAGAGGTTTAACAGCAAAGAACTTGTTATGAAATAAATATCCTTGAAGCACTGTATGTGCCACACTGTGTAAGATCCACCTGAAAGTGTAAAAGAAATGAAAAAAAATTCCAACGTGGTCCTTCACTTACTTCAGATTTGCAATTTTCACAGCAAAAATGTGACATTGCCATTTTCATGATAACAGCCTGACCACCCCAGATACAGGGTATGTGATAACACACCAGATGTTACTGTGGTAGCCTCTTCTCTTCAGGTTAAAACTTACCAAGAATTCTGACTTTGTATTTTTCCTGGCATATGAATAATCACCTACCTGATATATTAATTATGAAAGGAAACTGGCAATAACACTTTTAAAATCAGGAAGGTACCAAACTGTGCAAACACAATTTGAGGGAATTTTTCTTTTTTAGTTGAAATACTTAAATTTCAGCATCTGTGGTTTGAGGCTTCTAGAAAAAGATTACAGGAAGCTACCAACAGAATTAATACATCTGTATCAGGAACAGAGTTCTGCTAATCTGAGCTTTGACCTCCTGCTAGGTAAGAGAGCTCTTAGAGTGGAAACAATCTGTCAAATGTGGGTGGTAGGATTTGTCCTCTGTTTCTTGTAAGGAATTCACAACAGTGAAGAGCAAGCTCCCTTGGATCCAGTAAGTTACCTGTTTTCAGACCATCCTTTTTACTGCTGCACACTATGCTCAGCTCCAGATATATTAGCACTAAGCAACTCACCATTTTCCTCTACGGAAAAAACACTGGATAAGCTCATGGCACCTTCTGCTCAAGAGTTCCAAAGGTAAGAACTCTGAGGCTGTTGTTACACTGTGTTGCCTATAGACTTGCAGTCCTTAATTCCATTTCCTAAGTGTAGTATCACACCTTTCTTTTATATATACATCTGTATAAACCTATGCTAGTTATATATATATATATCTTATATATTTTATATATATATAAACCTGTGGTAGTTATTCAAACAAATACAGGATTGCCTTATGGTTGAAGTTCTCTGTCAGTATAAGGTGCTAACATAAAAGCAGGACAAAGCAGAGAGATGATTAACTGGAACATGTAACAGAGCAGGAAAACTCATCCAGTCATGGAAGTTTTATGTACCCTCACTGCACTTGGGAGACACCCTGGTCAGGAGCACATTTCCTGCTTGGAACTGGAGGAAAGCAGCATCCATCCACCTGAGTTTTAATAAAATGAGAAAGAGCAGCTACCTGAACCACTGTGTTCTGCTGTTTAATTCTCCCTTTGTTTCGATGTTCTCACTCTGCTGGTGCAGAGCACTTGCTCCACTAAAACTCAGCTTATGTATTTGTTCAGGCCTAGTAACAGAAACCTGCTCTTCCTCTGGCACACCTAGGATGAGTAGCAGCAGTACAGGTTTCCCTGCAGAGCCTTGTTTAAGTGCTGTAGCCTTATTTTACAAGAATTCTTGCCAGGGTGGGATATTTTTCCATTCTTGCTCTTGGGATTCTGAAAGTTTGCTATAAACAGAATAAATTGAACAAAGGTACATGATGCAGGTGCACAATATTTAACTTGGATAGTCAAATTTGAATAAATACAAAAAAATAACTCCCACAGTATGCACCACCACATTTACCCTGTGAATATTTTCACATTTTAAAGAACCTGCTAGTAAATGTCACATTGATCCTCAGTACAGTATGTGAAAATAATACCTTCTTCAAAACATGAAGATAAACCTAAGACAGACAAGTGCTTTTAAGCAGTAGATGTCAAAAGGACTCATAAAGAACTTGAGTCTGATGAGCTTCCCCACATTCTGGGGAATTTGGGCGTGCTCAAAGTTGTCCAGAATCCGAAAGGTAGAACAAGGAATAGGATCTAATCCAGTCACAACAGAACCTTAAAAGTGCTGAGAGGCCTCTTCTGAAAAAAACAACCAACCAACAAACCACAACAAAAGGAGCATAATGAGAGCATAATGGGCATAACTTTTATTCTACATGACTTGTATCTTTACAAAATCTTTTTGTTAACCTATATTTTACTGCATTGTTTGAGCTGCATCTTAACTGATTAGAAATAAATAGTTTGAACTTAGAGCAGTAATCTCAAACTGATGCCTAACGCTTGGACGTGATGTGCTCCCCAGCGTGTTCTTCATGGTGCCTCTCTCACAACACACCCTTTGCCTCCTGCTCATGGCTGGGTTTTTGAACAGCAGCACCAAACCCCAGTGTTTGGTTATTGGAAAAAAAAACGCTGATCACTTCCCAATTATGAGCAGACTAACTTTATATATAACTTATATAATTTATAAAAAACCAAAAAAAGTTATTTGCCAAACCTGTCCTCCATAAACACTTGGTAGGCAGAAGATTTTTAACCCCCCAGCTGAGTATGACTTGCACAGACTCTTGTTTTCTAAATAACAAAACTGTTCTGGAACACATCACCAAACTTAAGTATTGCAAATTAATTAATGCAAATTTTTAGATCTCAGGAGTTTTAAAATCAATGGTATCAAGCTGGAATAACGATTCTTTCCAAGTAAGATAAGGATGTTGCCCTTTAACTCTTACCTTTTATAGCAATAGCAAACTAACATTCTATTAAATTGTTACTGATGATCTGTGTGCAAAATTTCTGAAGTATGATGAGCTACATGCCTTCACTGTGCTTTTAAGCCACTGGCTGTAATATCAGTCCCTCTTAAGACTTTTGATTAAAGTTCAGATCAATGGCTTGAAGCAAACTATGACTAAATTTTACTTGCTTTTAAATCAGATAAAAGTTGGTTTAGCTTTTAGCTAGCTTATAGTTACATAAAAATATTCAACAGTTACAGAAAGTGCATCAAAACCAAGTATCTCATATGATTGCACAATCTGCACAACCTCAGTAAAACCTGAGGTGGAAGTTGCTGAATACAGGAGGAGAATAATTTCCAGAGCTGACAAAAAAAGAAATAAAATTTAAATCTAAAAAAAGTACAGCAGTTTGCTGACATTGGTAATGTAATTTGAAAACTTACATTCTGTAGATAACATTCCATTCCTAATACTTGAGCTCAAAGAATCCTTTTCATGTTATTTTTAACCAACCTCCTCCTCCACCAGGTTCTGAAAGGAACAAATACTTAGGAAGTTAAATGCAGAATGCTCTGTGCTCTGCCAGAACAATGCTTTAATTAAATATTGACCCACTTCAGGAACAGAATACCAAAATGATAGGAGAGCAGCCCTCAAACCTTGTGAGGTTTTCCTACAAATTGTCAGAGCAACAAAAAACCAGGCACTGCTGTTCTTGTTAGATCTTTAACAGCGGAAGCACGACTGGATCTCTCTTCACTGCACAGCCGTGCTTTTCCTCACTCTTCCTTCTAAAGCAGGCTTTAGTGGAAATGTTTCAGGGAAGACTTAAATGCCTTCTGTTTCTCAGACTGTTGAGGAAGCAACAGAAGTTTGAAATACGCTTCAATGGGCGAGTGAGAGTCTACACCTCAGTGTCTGATCCAATAAATTTAACAGACTGGAACGCAGGGTTTCCACCGCTTTCCTTAGGTGCCCAGAAAACTGAGTGCAGTGTAGGAGTAGAACAGGAAGTCAATTTGGCTACTCCAGAAGAATTTCATTTTGGTAAATCTCCAAGAGGAGATCCATTTTGTTTTGTTGTTTGTTTTTTTTTCCTGGACTCTCCTAAGAGAATGCTTTTAAAATAAATAAACAAGGTTCAGGGTTTTTTCTGAGAGCATCTTAAGGAATAAAATTAAAAGAGAAAATCCAAATAATCAGAGAAAAAACCCCAAACCTCAGCCAAATACTATTTCAGCTCATTCTTTTATAAAAATGATTTGACTCACTTGATGTTTCTTGCCATCTTTCCTAAAGGAACTCCTTACAAAGCCTACACTGATGAACTCCAGACCTAAACTGGTGGAAAAAGTAGCTCCTCCTGTGGAAGGAGAGTTCATGCTTTCAAGGTTGAATGCCCAGCAGAAAATAATTTATAATTTTTCTTTGCTACTGTAGCAAGGTTTTTTTTGAGAAAAACCACTGTTTGAAAGTTTTTGATGTAGTACTAAGTTCCATCTCACCTTGTCGATACAGCAAACCCTTAAGAGTGAATACGTTGAGTTTTTTCACATAGCTGGTATATAAACAAAGTTTTAGTTTGCCAGATTTTTAATCAGATCTTAATTTTTTATTTTGTGTCAAAAACAAGCTTAGGATTTTCCCAGATATCATCTAAATACAAGATAATTAAGTTTAAAAATTATATCTTTTTATTTGCTCGAAATGTAGACTGAAGCCCTGAAAAGGCAAAAGCACACTTTCTGTCTCTGCCATAACTTCATCTGAAAACTCTTTAAGCCAAAGGCAGACAGCAAAACCAGGATGGTGATATTTAAAAATAAAGGCGGAGCTGACCCTTTAAGTAACGGTAACTCTGACAAAAGTCTACTGAAGGGATTATGGGGGTATCAGAGCTTCTAAATTCTAACTCATGTATGTCAGGGATTTGGGGGGAGGGGGAAAGGCATCAGACCAAATAAAGATCTGTGTTTAGGCAGACGGAATAAACCCAAGTAATCGGCTTAAGTTTAAACATTTGTTTCTAGCTAACAAGCTCAGTGCTACAAATTACTTTCTCTAAATGGGCTGACAATTCTTCCACTTAAATACTACCTGTCTTAAACTTGCCTTTGGAATTTGGCACAAATAAGGAGGTACTCGCCCTTATGTATTTCTTACTAATCTTAGTTTTTTCTGCACGGTCAAAGCTTGTGTATCAGCTGCCCTAAAAAGTCTGGGGGAAAAAGAGTAGAGAAAAATATCAGTTGTGCTTTAGGTGAGGTTTGGACTCAAGGCAAAGAATTACAATAACTTGAGTTACATTCATTGTATTGCAAGCCAAGAACTTGCCCTGGAAGCAAATTTCATTTCAGTCCAGCTGAAGTAAGGACAGCACTCCCCAAACTTTCTGATTTTAGTCTTCAAGAATGAAGTGATTTGAAGTCACTTGCCAGAATTCCTGAAAATAAGGGTGCTGTAATGCTTGATGGGCAGCAGTTCTCTAATTGTGGTCATATTTTATCATTGCATGCAGGAGAGAGAAACCTTTGGCAGTCAATTTGTGCACTAGAGGAGGTTTTCCTTTTCCTTTTTTTAAAGGAGAAGTCAAAACTAGAAATTCTTGACCTGTGTTAAGCAAGCTGAGGAAAAAATTATTCATGCATATTCAGAGAGGATTACAATTTACTGAAAAGAAAGAATTCATCAGATTTAGGTAATCATTTATTAGGGACAAGTAAGTAGTACTTAGGAAAAAGATGTTTTCTTTCCTAAAATGTTACATGATTGGCCTTAAAGATACTGTGGAAATAAAAGGCCAAATAAGACTGACATAGGCTCAGATTTTCTCTGGTCTGACTGTCTCTGGGTAGGATAGAAGACACTGCTCTTGGGTCAGCACGGAATGAGGTGTTTGTGGTGGTTCCCAGAGCAGAATTTGCACAGGGCTGTACAGTTCTGTTGTGGATATTTAAACAGTGAGATTAATAACTGTGGGAGTGCATACTTACTGCTTGAACTTCTTGAGAGTTGTTTTAGCAAGAGTGCCTATAATGTGGATTTTTGAAATTTGGTCCAGCTCATCAGATCCAAGAAAACTGCAAGGTAAGAGATGGTATTAGCACTAGAGAAGACACAGTTAAACTAGTTTAGTTGCATAGCTGCCTCTTTGATTAAAAAAAAAAAAAAATCATTTCTAAAGAAGATAACACATTAGAATTACTCATCTGTGGACAGTTTAATAATACCTACCAACAACTGATGGATAACGTGAGCAGCAGAGCAACACAACTGCAGGTTTGGATGGAAAGAGTAGTTTGGGGTTTTTAAACAGAAACTTGTAGCTGTAAACTCTCCTCCTTGGTTTGGGTAAAATATGTAAAGAAAACATCCCTCTTGGTGAAGGACAATGGATCTGGGATTTTGTTTGCTTCTAGTAAAGTGGCAGATCCCAGAAGACAATGAGGTTTCCTCATTTTAAGACAGCAAGTCAAGCAGTCCCTCTTGCTATGTATGCACATAGAAATACATATTTATCACACTCTATTCCTAACAAACAGGTTCTTTGCAAGCAGGAATACTGGAAAGATGGTAATTTGAACTGCATTCCTGAGGTTGATCCTCAGTTAATATAAAACTTGTATAGAGTCCTTGAAAACACTGTTATCATAACAGAGCAATCTGACTTTAGTCATGTCCACTACCATTCATTTCCTGTGCATGTTACTTTTTTCCTTGGGCTTATAATTTAAGAAACACTTCAGCAGCACCATATGACTTTTGAAAGCAAATCACTCGGCCCTCTTTGTAGACAGGGTAAACTTCTTTTTAACTGTTTGCAAATTCAATCAAACAGCTGGCTGCACACTACTCTGAATGTCTTCATAAAGCTTTGAGTTGAGAAAGGAGAGAAAAGATCTGATTCACGTTGTGCAGCTGTATCAAGACAAGCAGCTGGGAGTAGCTTGTGTGAACAAAAAAATGTGCTGTCTTTGAATGTAAAACTGTAACAGTGAAGAAGAACTGTGGAAGCCATGAAAGAGTGCAATCCAGGAATCATGATTTATAAGGAACAGAAAGAGGGAAACTAAGATTTGAAAGATCAGCATGGCTGAGTAAAAGACTAAAAGTTCTTACACAATGCTGTGTAAAGCATAAAGGCTTATGCAAACATTGAACAGCAACAACTGCATGATACACTGAAAACGAAACAATCCTGTCCATAACATCCTCTAGCTTGGCAAGACTATCTCTTTAATTTGGCAGTTTCCAATAAACATCCCTCATTTCTCTCTGAGCACACCTATAAGGTCTCTGAAAATGTGCAGTGGTTGCAAGAAGTGAAATTTTTTACGTTAAACTAAAATTACAAGGAAATATTTTTAAGGGTTTTTTTTTTTTTGCCCTAAGAAAACTTAGAGAGTTTGCAGTGTGTAATTTTCTTGCCAAACTTCAAAGCCCACCTGATTCAAAGTGAAATGAAACAACGTGGCATTTTTAAGGCTTTTGGTCCCAATTACTTTGCAAGAGTTCTGCCACATTTGGGATTTTTCTATTAACAGTTTTCTGGCCGAAGCAGAACTGTTTCTACAAGTTAGCAGGCAAAGCATAATGGTTGTCATTTAATGTGATGGTGATGGCAGCAGCTGCACTTGCCATGTGGAGGAGGAGGAAAGAAGCAAAGCAAATGTTATCACTCCTGGTTGCATATCATAGACAGCAGTGTGGGAGGAGAATAAAGAAGAACTGCTGCCGTTGCTAGGGTACAAAGATATTGGAGAAATACTCATGGTGGTTATTTTTCCTTTTTTCTTGAAGACTAGTGACAAATTTTTTGAGTAATAGTTTCATCATCACCAAAAAGTTTAAAGGAGTTTAATCTGGGTTTTCCTGAACTCTTCCTTCATCAGAATCTGATTTCAAAATATCCCAGCACACGAAGTCTTAAACAGCACCAGGGTCTTAAATGCACTATACTATAAATCAAAGTCATAAATCAGAGGGAGTGTATTCTCTAATCTCTGGTTTTGCAAAAACTATTAGTAAGTCAAAAAAGAGGGGAATATTTCATCACCAAGTGTATTAACTGCACTGAGAATAGTGATGCTCACGAGAGGAAATGAGCCATTCTATATACAGAGAAAAGCAGAAAAAGTAAAATTTTACTAAATATGAAGTCATTGGGGGAAAAAAAATGTTCAAAAATGTTATTTTCTTTGTAAATAAAATGGTTGTAATGTTGGTTGCACTATGTTCTCTTGAATATGCAACTGCTTTTATTACTAACCTGCCATAGGGTGAAGAGAGTGCCAGGCCAGACCAGATTACTGCCTCATGAACCCTGCAGATTAAGCACAGAAGAAGCTTCCACAAATCCATGGAAATGAAGATCATATTACCACGTGCCCTTAATTTATTTACTTTTGATTATCTTGAATAACAGTAAGAAAAGCCTTCCACTGAACACTGTACCTTATGATTTCACAGGAAACACAGCCAGCACTGCACATACCCATTTTGTAACTTTAGTGGCCATTTGCAAGCAAACATTCAGGTGTTCGGTACCAGCGTGGGGAGGCACATCCCACATGTGCCTGCTGAGAACAGATACCCCACAGGATCCAAAATCTCTCAACTTCAAGGTATTCTGCTACAAAAACAAGTAATGAATTTCAACAAACTACAAACAGAGAAATATTCAATCAAGTATTTTCCTTAAATGTGTGAAGCCATCATAAAAGAAATGACAGATTACTTTAAGAAGAAACTTTCCAAAATACCAGGAGTGTCAAAGCAGTAAATAGCAAGTAAATAGCTTTTAAATAGCAAGTAGCTCCAGGCTTGAAGGTAATCTCTGTCCCATAGTATGTGCATATACCATTCTGTACATCATTAAAAGAAAGACCTAAGAGTTAATTGAAGAGCATATGGACTATTACTGAAGGGAAGGCTGCTAAATAGGACATCTAGATTAAGTTATTAGAGTTCTTCTGTTCAGCAGTGATATAATAGGTGGCTTTGGCTTCTCCTGTACACTTCTGTGACTTAAAAGAAAAATTTACCTCCAGAAAATAAAGTTGCATAAGCTGAATTTAAAAAGCCTTGCTTTTCAAACTTTTAGCACCATAACCTTCTGAAACTGTCAGGAGAAATTATTCCAATGAAGAAATCTTCTGAAAGCCAATGTCTTCTCACTTTTGTATAACTTCCACTAAATGTAGGAATTGAATGTAGAAAGAAAGAACTGCAGAACTGAGCCCTACTACTTCTGTCTAGGTTAACACAAAGGAAAGTATATATTAATAGAGGATAAGAACAGGTTTTTAGATTGGAGGGAATACATGCAGGCTGTAATACACCTGAGTTATTTCAGGTTTTAGCTAGTAACAAGCTTGCTGGTTCATCCCCCAAGATCAGGAATACAGTATTAGAGGTAACTGTGTATATATTTTTTTTAAAACTGCACCTTTACTCATAAAGAAACATTACCTTCTCAGAGTTAAATATCCTCACATGAAATTAATTACCTTTATTATTTTTTCTGATTTCACATCTCTCTGAAATATCCTACTTCTGTACTAATATAAACATACCAGATAGAAGAATTCAGTAAAAAGACAAGCATTATCAGTGCTTCCAGTTATTTGTAAAAAAAAAAAATACTTAGAGAAATTAACAGTTTTTGCAAACTTATCAACAGCATAGTAAAAAAATTAGTTTTGCAACTGTGGTGAGACAACAGCGACAGGTATTGGAATGGGGAACAGGTAAGTCCAGGAAGGGGATGCCAGGCTTTCTGCTTCTGCTCCCACTAGGACTACCTGAGGATTGCAAGGGCCACCCTCTCTCAGGAGGGATTCCTGCCACAGGTCCTGGAGCTCCTTTGGGGTGCTGGCAGCAGCTCGGGCTGCCTGATGCCTTCCAGGGCTCTGCTGCAGGCAAAGATGCATCTGGGCAATGGCCTCTTCTCTCCCTGCAGGTGTCTGCTGCTGCCCCAGACAGTTCTATGTCTCTGCTTAGAAATACCCTGAACTAAATATATGCTACATGTGCTGTAAAGTTGTTGCTGAACCAGGTCTCTTACCTATGTGTGCATTCGAGATTTGCATAACTGGTACATGTTGTTCTTAATTTTTTTTCAGGCAATGGCTTTCTCCTTCCTAGAATAAAATTTCAAGTTGTATAAGTCCTTTTTAGTAAAGAACAGAATACAAATATCCTACTCTTCAGCTTCCACAGATGCACTGATATCACCTTTTTCGATTATACTGTTTCTGTCATTTATAGCTAGCTTTGTAATCCATTTTCCACTCAACCTCAGACATAATTTAGATTTCAGTGTGCACCAGAATAGCTCAGTTAACAACTGTCAATTCAAGAGTCTGTAAGCTGCCTTAGTTTTTACTGCATGTATTTATTGCAGTATCTGTTCCCCCAAGTTCCATCAGAACTGCAATATTTCACTTCTGAACATCTAATTTCCTCTCTACACAAAGCAATTGTCCTTAAGGTTCAAGATTCATATCAATCACCTCAAGTTACTGCAGTGCTTAAATGACTGTGATTCACATTTGAATTGCAAATTAAAGGTTAACCAATGTAGTTTAGCTTGCTGTTGCTGTTAGGTAATAATTACAGTTATAAAATTTATCTATTTTTCAGAGCCATTCAGTAACTGCTCAGCTTTTTTCTTTTATAGGCTCCAAAGGCCTTTTAATCTTGCTGTAATGCCTTTATGTAACACTGCAATGCCATCAAGGGAGGCAGAAATGATCACATTTTTGAAAAACAAAGCAGGTACTGATCTGCCTGATGACAGTAGTATGAGTAATTGGCTGGGGAGGAGGAGGGAGATTATCAGGACAGTAACTCATTGAGGCCACCAGTCCTAGCAGCCAGCGGGACTTGTGTTCCCAACTGATTACAGGGCTCCTCCAGGCAGCCACATAATCCACTGAGCAGGATTAGATCACAAAGCACTTCGAACACAGCACCACTTACACTGGGAATTGTAGTGGTAGTGCCCCCGTGGAGATAAATGGTGCTTTAAACGTCAGGATTTTTGTCATTTATAATAGAAAAGATTTTATAAAATGCTGCTACTCAAATCAATTGGGATTATTATTAGTATTTAAGAAATCAGGCCTTCATAAAAACAAGTCATGCTCAATTGCTTTTTCATTACAGTTCACTAGTAGAATCTGGAGCAGGTGCTCCTCCACTTCCAAATTTATCGTTAGAGAAACCCTATTTGGCAGTAATGGTGAAGTGAATCCTAAGGTAGTGGCACTTGAGTCTTCTGTCATTTCACTTGAGGCATCCCCCACACCTCTCTCTGAGACATACTTTTTACGTTGCTTTAAATGACCAAACTGCTCTTGATTAAACAAAGGGCAAGACTCTTTTTCAGTTATTAAATGACTTGTGATTCCACTGTAAATTAACAGCAAGAGAATTATGACTTCATGTAAAGACAAATAGCCTTGTCTTGGTTGAAGTAACATGGATCTCTTGGTTTATAAAGGAAAAACCCAAAAGTATCAACTTTCCACATTAGTAGCATTACAGTGACCCGTTCTCCTAATTACACAAGTGTCTCCATACACCTTGTTAAATTAAAAATTCATTTTCAGTCAACCCCTGCTTCAAGTTTTTCTTCATTACAAAATATTGTACAAACCATGCTTGCCTCTAAATCTTTCTAATGTAAAGATTTTTTAAATTGTTCTGCACCTACATTAAACCTGATTTTGCAAGGCAGAGCAGTCAGGAAATGACATGCATTCCTGTTACTGCAGAAACTTCCCAAAGACCACAATTCCTCTGAAATGTAACTACTTTTGTACCCTCTGCAAATGGTTTTGTGACAGAGCATCGCTAATGAACAATTTAATTGTTCTACAAATTAGTAATGCTAATCACACTGCTGAAAATTCTAAAGGAGCTCCTTCTACTTGCCATTGCTGTGTAAAGATCCTCAGTCAGTAAGGCTGGGAAATAAGATTTCTGGCTCAGAAATAAGATTATTTTTCCAGATTAATTACGTACCTGGACCCTTTGCTGTATTTATTGTTGTTACATTTCTTGACTTTGCAACAAGCCACAACTAGAGTTGTTTGGGGAGAAAATGGATAAAAAACTATTTCTGCCCCATAGGAAATTGTGGTAAATGAAAATTTACTTTTAAACTCCAAAATTAATTTCTTAAAAATGCACTATACCTGAGACAGATTAAATGCTTGCATACTTCAGAATATCAAAATACTTTTTTGGGTATTTATTATAATCTCCATAGGAATCTGTTGTTCATTTTCCTGTTTTATTCTATGATTTGACAAGCTCCACCCCATGTGCTACCACCCCATACAACATGAAAAAAAGACACTGTATCACGGGAAACGCAGTCCAGACACAAAACCAGGATATAAAGAAATTCAGGTAGACCCAGATTAATGTTCAGATAACCCCTAACTGCAGCATTTCAGATTACTATTGAACATAGATTTCATTTTTAACTGATTCACCGTGCCATAGAAATGGAGGTTATTAAAACTAAGTGGTAGGAAGATAATCTTCTTATGGAAAACCTGACTTTGATAAAAACTGTATTTAAAAAAAAAAACACAACAAACCAAAACCAGAACGTACTGAAACTATGATTCTAATTTTCATCTGAATACAATGCTTGATATAGCAGGCTTTTTCACATGAAAAGGAGAGAAACACTGAGAAATGTAACCAAATGAATGCAAGTACTCTGTTGTAAAAAAAAATAAAGGCAGTTAAAGAACAAACTTAAACATTCTGATTTTTCATAAATGAAGTACAGTATCTTTCCTGGAAGGAGAAGATGCAGGATTGTTTTTAATAAATATGGAATTACTCTGACTTCTCAGGCTAACAAATCTATCCTGTAAAAACAAAATGTCTAATTAAAACCAGCAAACACTAATGTCTCCTTCAGTCATCAGCAAACAACTGTATTCTAATCTCACATTCTTATGTAGGTCAGAGAGTTACTCCTTTTGTTAGAGACCTGAAGGCTCAGTGTCACAAATGTCATGTTCGGGAGCAAGTCTTTGTTCTGTCACACTGAATGACAGTTGCATGCTCAGTTATTTAAAATAATCTCCCAATTGTTAAGACATTACAAATTCTTAATTAGTCATTTAAAAAAATCCTCTTCTGATAATGAATTGTAAGTATATGCCCCTTCATTTGCTGTAACTTTATCTGTTAGTGTTTATACAAGATTTGGTTTTAAATCAGATTTTGTTCCAAACTTTTTTGTAGGAACTCTTCCTTAAGCTTTGTGGTCTCTGACACGCTTCCACAAACAGC